AATACTGATGGCTGAAAATAACAAAGGGCAATTACTGAAAATTAATGCAGGGTAGGTCATCATTCTTGTGTGCTGCATCCCTCCTCAGTAAAAATCTATCCACCTATGAAGTTTCAAGTTGATACCTCAAATACTTTTTGAGAAAAAAATTGAATTGAAAAATTAAGTATTAAAAAGAACAAAGGGCAATAACTCAAAAATTATAAAAGGTAGAGTTATCATTCTTGTGCAGTGCACACCTCCTGAGTGAGATCTATGCACCTATAAAGTTTCATTTTGATATCTCAAAGGCTTTTTGAGTTATGCTCTGGACAAAAATTAATTTTGAATAATAACAAAGGGCAATAACTCAAAAATAACTCGATGAGATCCATCCACCTATGAAGTTTCAAGTTGATACCTCAAATACTTTTTGAGATAAGCTCTGGACAAAATAGCATGAAAAAAAACAAAGGGCAATAACTCAAAAATTGTATAGGGAAGAGTTATCATTCTTGCGCACAACATTCCTCCTCAATAAGATCTATCCACCTATGACATTTCATGTTGATATCTCAAACACTTTTTGAGTTATGCTCCACTCAGGTGAAAAATTAGGTATGAAAAATAACAAAGGGCAATAACTCAAAAATTATGAAAGGTAGAGTTATCATTCTTGTGCACTGCACACCTCCTGAGTGAGATCTATGCACCTATGAAGTTTCATGTTAATATCTCATAGGCTTTTGGAGTTATGCTCTGGACAAAAATCAATTTTGAAAAATAACAAAGGGCAATAACTCAAAAATCATGCAAGGTAGAGTTATCATTCTTGTGCACTGCACTCCTCCTCAATGAGGTCTATCCACCTTTGAAGTTTCAAGTTGATAACTCAAATACTTTTAGAGATATGCTCCGGACAAAAATGTCGGACGGAAGGACGGAAGGACGGAAGGTCGGACGGACGGAGACTATTTCTATATCCCCCGCCGAAAATTTTTCGGCGGGGGATAATTAACCATTGTCCCTTGTACCCTCCAGTCAATCAGCATAATCTTGGATGATCTTGGTCAAGGTGTAATATTGGTAAACCAGTTTCAAAATAATGAAATTTCATTCCTCAATTTCAAAATTTAAATTAGCCAATCGGTTAGTAGGATAACAGACATAAGCTCCTTCATTTCTAAAATGTTAAGCCTTTCATTGAAAAATTAAAGAAATGAAATCATTTTTTCCCTTGAAACTTTTTGTGTATCTTTCTAGTATTTGAGTGATTGAATTCCTTTTAACAATTTTGTTGAATATGTTTTACCTCTGACAATGAAAGACAAATTTCAATTAAAATTAAGGCTATATTGTAGGCTATATAGCAGATTTTACAGATTTATAGCACTTTATAAAAACATTCATTTTAAGTGTTTTGTTATAGGTAATACAGTGCAGTTTCTGTTATTGGAATAGACACTGTATAACATTCTGCTTTAATTTGATTTCCATCCGGTAAACATAACATATTCAAAGTAAAAGGTATACCCTAGCTTCCTAAAAGCTTACCAATTTTCTAATATAAAAGTACTTAGCAACTAAGCCATGATCAAAGTGTTCTGTAAGAGGAACACCTAATCAAGCACAGTTCCTGATTACTTGGTGCTATTATGAAGTAATTAATTATATAACAAGGGAATGCTATCTGGTTCTATACAGTGTTATCTTATAATGCCAAGAGGCACCTATCATTTAACTATGAAAACATTCTGGCATCTGAAATATTCTACTTTTCTCCCCAGGACAGTTTTTTTTTAACCATTTCCCTACTGAATTTGTATAATGGATTTGCTGCAGCTATGAATTTGGAAGAGTTCATAAATAGTTTCAGGTATTGATATATCAAATATTAAAAATTGTGAAGCCGACTGTGAAGTTAACCAGCAACAATGTAGTGACTACTAGTGAGCTAGATCAGATACCAATCAGCAAAATAAAACTCATATCAGACTACAGAGGTGCAGACTGGCATGGCTCCAGTAGGAGAACATAATTAAGTGCCACATTTCACTATTTTAGTCACAAGCGAGCACCCTGGGCAGCTGACCTACAGTCCTTCCTAAAGCTAGCTAGATAGCTAGAAGCATTAAAGAATAGCAAAATAGTATTTTATACCATCAGACACAGGTGTAAGTGATATGCCGATATTGTGCTGAATTAATTGAAATAACACATTTATATATTATAATACATGAATTCTATCTAATATATTGTATTCCACAACATATTTTACACTACATTTAGTGAGTGTAATGAAGAATATGACAAATACAACTCTCACTGATTTTTTACACCCTCCTTCTATTGTAAACTTTATAAAACAAGAGGGCCATGATGGCCCTAGATCGCTCACCTGAATTATCAAACTCATCCAAACAATTACCTAGACAAGCATTCTGACCAAGTCTCATGACAGGTGAGTCAAAAATGTGACCACTACAGTGTTAACAAGGATTATCCATATTTGAGCAGTGCGACCTAGTTTTTTTTACCCAGGTGACACATATTCAAACTTGACCTAGAAATCATCAAAACAAACTTTCAGACCAATTTCCAGGATACTTGGATAAAAACAGTAGCAACTAGAGTGTTAACAAGATTTTTCTATTTTTAGCTCCGGTGACCTAGTTTCACATGCGATTTCGAACTCATCCAAGCAATTACCTAGACAAGCATTCTGACCAAGTCTCATGACAGGTGAGTCAAAAATGTGACCACTACAGTGTTAACAAGGATTATCCATATTTGAGCAGTGCGACCTAGTTTTTTACCCAGGTGACACATATTCAAACTTGACCTAGAAATCATCAAAACAAACTTTCAGACCAATTTCCAGGATACTTGGATCAAAACAGTAGCAACTAGAGTGTTAACAAGATTTTTCTATTTTTAGCTCCGGTGACCTAGTTTCACATGCGATTTCGAACTCATCCAAGCAATTACCTAGACAAGCATTCTGACCAAGTTTGATGATAATGGAGTCGAAAATGTGACCACTAGAATGTTAACAAGGTTTTTCCATATTTGGGCGGTGTGACCTAGTTTTTCATCAAGATGACCCATGTTCGATCTTGACCTAGAAATCATCAAAACAAACTTTCAGACCAATTTCCAGGATACTTGGATCAAAACAGTAGCAACTAGAGTGTTAACAAGATTTTTCTATTTTTAGCTCCTGTGACCTAGTTTTTCATCCGAGATGTCCCATGTTCGATTTATTCCCAGCAATGACCTAGACAAGTTTTCTGACCAAGTTTGATGACAATTGAGTCAAAATTGTGACCACTAGAGTGTTAACAAGGTTTTTTCTATTTTTAGCTCCTGTGACCTAGTTTTTCATCCGAGATGACCCATGTTCGAACTCATCGGAGTTATTACCTAGACAAGCATCTTGATCAAGTTTGATGATGATTGATGCAAAAATGTGACCGCTAAAGTGTTAACAAGGTTTTTCTATTTTTAGCTCCGGTGACCTACTTTTTCATCCGAGATGACCCATGTTCGAACTCATCCAAGCTATCAACTAGATAAGCATCCTGACCAAGTTTGATGATGATTGATGCAAAAATGTGACCGCTAGAGTGTTAACAAGGTTTTTCTATTTATAGCTCCGGTGACCTAGTTTTTCATCCGAGATGACCCATATTCGAACTCATCCGAGCTATTATCTAAACAAGAATCCTGACAAAGTTTGATGATGATTGGGTCAAAAATGTGACCACTAGAGTGGTCACAAGGTTTTTCTATTTATAGCTCCTGTGACCTACTTTTTCATCCGAGATGACCCATGTTCGAACTCATCCGAGCTATCACCTAGACAAACATCCTGACCAAGTTTGATGATGATTGGGTCAAAAATGTGACCTCTAGAGTGTTCACAAGGTTTTTCTATTTTTAGCTCTTGTGACCTAGTTTTTCATCTGAGATGACCCATGTTCGAACTCATCCGAGCTTTCAACTAGATAAGCATCCTGACCAAGTTTGATGATGATTGAGGCAAAAATGCGACCGCTAGAGTGTTCACAAGCAATTGTGGACGGCCGGACGGACGACGGACGACGGACATTCATCGATCCTAAAAGCTCACCCTGAGCAAGCTCAGGTGAGCTAAAAAAGGACCAAAATGACAGAAATGCTGTATCTCTCTCAGTAAGAAAAATTTGACATAATTCTTAAAACCATGGATGTAACAGACATATATGGAAAAAGATGTGGGTGGGTGGGCTAGATGAATAACCCATAAAGGAAGTACTAGTAACAATATGGTCTTTAAGACAGGACTAACTGTATTATAACAATGTCTGTTGTTATCTGATCAATGCTGCTGAATGATATATGAGTGATCTAGGAATGATCAACCTGTTGAAGAAGGAGATTAACTTAAAGAGGATCAGCATGTTACATAATCTACTAAATGCACCAGCTTTTATACATAATTAATTTGTAATATTCACTTAAACAAAGAATAAACATTCCTTTATTAAGCCCTTAAGAAACACCCACTTTTTTTTTCTTCAATTTGATATCTTAAGACAACATGTTTTATCTTTGGCAATTCTTTCCAAGAACATTAATACACTACCATATGGCTGCCTAAACAACAATTAAATTTGAATGAAACAGAGCATTTGCAACAGTTCTGAACATCAGTCTAATTAAACAGAACATTAATAATGCACAATAATTAAATTATCAATAATGCAATAAAATCCAATATTGCACTGTGATGTATACACTTTGTGATATCGATGCACCATCCTGCACACTCTGACAAGAGATTTACATAATTTATATACACTCTAAAATCTTATTCAGCTACTGTGAAATTATACATATTGAACATTTTATTGTTATTTTATGCATAATTCACTCTTCTATTTGCATTTACATTACATTTCAATCTTCTCCCTCCCTCAGTTTACACAAATTTACGTTGGTTTAAAATATTTTTGATTTTAATATCTTATCAGCTACAAACATCTTCATCCGCCAACGCAAATATCAATAATTCATTTATAACCTGATGTACCGGTACAGTTGGGATATAAAATTCAGCTTCAGTGTAAAATAAACAGGAATTAAATATGATAAATAACGCCTACTTACCCCAAATGTAACCCGTTATAGTGTAATATCCAATCTAAAATTTCTATCCAACACTACTCCACAGGAATGTTGAATGGTGTTATTAAGTCCCGATTTATAGAAAGAGTAACTGTCACAGTATTCCTGCAGCAGTAACGGTGGTTTTTCACCACCGAGAAACAGTATTGACAGTTTTTTCCTCCACAGTCGCAAGAGCTTCCAATAAGACTCACTCACTGCCAGTGGTTTTTCTCTTCGATTGACAGTCAGACCAGTGTAGTCCTAGCAACTGTAGAGAGAGAGAAGGGAAAGAAAAAATCAATATGTAAAACATTAAGTGCTTCCACATTAATTGCTTGTCAGGATAAAGGTCTTCTCCTTCCATGCTAGACTAACATACATAATTCATGCATGCACTCATTCTCATCTCATCCATGTAATACATGCAGTCATTTTACTTATTTTCTTCTCTCCACCTTATCTTTTCCATATACCTCATCACTGAAATACTTGCTTTCAAGATCTCAAATTGCTCCAAAAGGTCAATTTTACACCCAGTATTTTACCTGCTTGAATAATCTAATCATGGTTTCTAAAAATGGTTTTTAACATTCAAATTTTAATAGATTAATAACAAGTTAATAACGAGAAACAAAATTCACTTTTATATTCCTTTCCACAGTAATAATTCAATATAACATAATATCATATCGTACTTAATTCTTCAGTGCAACCATTCATATAATGCAAATAACTAAATGCATACATGTGAACTCTCCCATTTTAAGCGGGAGACTCCCACTTTCTGCAGCTATATTTTCAAGGATTTTTCTTAAAATAAGGGGTATTTTCAAAAATTAAAGAAATCTTCCTCTTTTTGGTGTTACAACTTCCTTCTTTGTTTATTGCAAATTCTAAAATCTCCCACTTGATCATCAAAAGAAGTTCACATGTATGAAGTCTAAATGTTACAAGTTTTCTTCTTCTCACAAATTATGTATCAGTCTATTTCAATCACTATATAGCTGTTTTAAAGATTACAAAATGTTAACACATCAAGATAACCACTGCTTGCTTTTACTTGATTACTTTAAACCACTTATAAGCCATTTAAAAGCTAATTTAAAGTCATGGTCTTGTAACATTCACTGATTTCTTTTTTTTCTGTTCTCATAAAATGTATATCACACTCATTCCTAGCTAATATAGTAATTATTTCTACACATTTATTACATATTTAATTCCATAGCATTATTATTCTGATATCACATACATGTAAATACTTTTCTAATTTATTCCTCCCGCTTCATGACTTATTCATAACATTGAACTTTATTCCAATAACATAACATAGATATTAAACAAGTAACTCCTAAGGTATGAGATGTATTTGATTCTTATTTAATTCAAAATTAATTCAAGATGATAATGCCAGTCAGTACAATGTGAAACAAATTCAAACTAACAGCATTCTTGCTCAGCCACTGATAAAATTATCCCCAGTTAACACCATGTAAATATGTCTTGGTTGATTATCAAAAAAAAAATGAGAAAATGATTTCATTTTGATTACCTTGGCAACATAAAGTATTTCATACTGCTTTCTGTTGCTACCACAAATAACCTAAAAAGTGTAATAAATTTATACATGATCAAAAGACTCGAATTGATACTTATTCTTTTTGATGCTTGCTATTTTAGTATTCAGGAAAAAATAATTTCCTTCTTAACAACTGTTGGGTACTAAAATTCAGCCACACCTATATAATATGGTTTAATTCTACTTTTATTACAGGTGGTATGGATTAAAATACACATGTACTTAGTTATGGTCAGTGTTTTCATGTGAAAAGAAGCTTACATAGCCAAGTGAATTTAGTCTCTGACTCTATATAATAAAAAAGCTCCCATCATAACTCATTAACTGTAGGTTGGAATCTTGTTAGTGACTCTGAAATTCTTTCATCCTAGAAAACTATCTAGACAATATAGAGAAAAGCGCTGCAGGTTCTTTCCTAAAATAACATACAGACAGACAAACAGACAATTCAAGATTCATCATCTGACCTGATTAAGTCATAAATGGAAAAAAGTACATGTACATCATAAAATATAATATCCCTCTACAAACTAAGCTAAATGACTTTCTTGAACAAACCAGGTAGCAGGAGTTTATGTGAATATTTTGTTTGTTTTCAGATTACAGTCTGTTTGAAAAATACAGTATGCAAATAAAAAGTGTTTAACACACCGGTAATTTATTTTTATGAGGTCTGCATATCAACAATCATTGTTGAAAGGGTTAATGCCCTTGATAACAAAATGTGACCAACTTCAAAAAATGTAGAAGCAACTTTAACCCCAAACCAAACGTGACTAGCGTTTGCCACCAGTATAGTCAGCCTGGCATGCACATGCATGCAGTCTGACCAGGCTCTATACTATTGGCGGACCAACTTTTCAAAATTTTCATCTTGAAATGGTCAAAAGTGATAATGAACAGTTCCAAAATGGAAGCTGGACAAAATTTTGAAAAATTCAACACGTTAATATTTATACATTCAGACTTAGTGTGACTTATGCTTCATTATATTAGCTCAATGCTCTAAAATACATTTTTATGATATCTAAATGCTATATTAAATGTTATCTACAGTCGACTCATTATTCTGCATGATTTAGTAGGATTTAATAACCAAATACAGGCCTGCGTTGATAATACCGAATAATATTCATATCAATATAAATTATTATACTTGTCATAACTGACATACTAAGGTTTCATAATTAGCACTTAATTTATCAATTTGGCACAAACGTAACAACTCCTAGCTGTCAGACAAGCCAATGATAAAAAAGTTAATATAACATCCACTAAATCTACAGCATTAGAATCTGTTATGTTTGTGCAGGATTTATCCTTGTTTGTTTGTTAAAGGATTATCACCATTTCAACATTACTTCAGTAGAGAGTTACTGTTGGATGATTGCCTATCAATATAAAGTTTCATACAAAATATTAGACAAACATCTCCACTATATTAAATACAGTTGTCCCTATAAAGCTAACCTGCTCGAATTGAACCTGATAAGCCCATGCCAACTGTATATATAGAGCATGGCCAGTCCGCACATTCATACAGTTATAATCCTGGCTTGTTGGTAAATAGCTTATTAGCTGAGTGTTTCTTATAATCTTTTAACTGACATAAATAAAGCTTCTTGGCTATAAAGTGTTTTGCAGCTCGATCTCGATTTGTATTTGATTAACTTTCATATTTGGACTTTTCAAATTCAAGGCTAGGCAAGTCTATAATATAAATTCAAAAACAATCTCATTCAAAAGCACAATTAATCATTGTGGCATGGCCGTGTGGTTAACACATAATCTTAAGATCGCTTAGCCATGTAAGTTCAAACACTGTCAGGAGCAAGCCATTTCCGCGAGGAAGAAAAATTACACTCATTGCTCAGTACTTGTTGGGATCAGGAATTGATTCACGAGTGTATCTAGAATTCTTGTAGCTTCCTACACAACTGAACTAAAATATAAATTATTCTGTATAAACTTAAAAAGCACATTATTTGCTCATATTTTAGAATATTTAAAATTTTTGCAAATTTCAGACTAAGTTATCTTATTTGGTACTACATTGTATGTATATAGCTGTATTCTATACACTCTACCTGTCTATATTTGCACATATTTACTAATGAAATATATATGTTCCACACTATTCAATACATATAATTTATTAATTAACCTTTTACAAGTGTGTATGCAGGGTGTTAAAATTAAGTCATAGTTTCAGCTAAGGAAATATGGCCTTGACTAAACTTGGCTCAAACCTATTATCCTCAGGTTGAGAGGATACCTTAAGCTTCTTAAACCAAAATTGAAATTAATTTAAAAATTAATCTTTTCCTATTACGATCATCAAAATGTATGTTTTAGAACCGAATAACTAGCGTAAGATACATGTATCATTCATTTAAAAAGCACCAGTCAACTGATCAATTAAAAACAAATTTCCACTTCAATATTGAATACACAGATGACAAGATACTATAAATTATTCACTAATGATATTAAAATGGAAAGTGCATCATATGACACACCAACAAATTACAACATTTTCTCTTAAAGTTCAGTTAAAAGCCTATTTTAAATGGATGACAATCTGTAATATGACTAATTCACTAAATTCATGAAAAAACTGCAAGTAGCCTAAAATACCATCAAAATGGTTTTCAAATAAATGTTTTTACTAACAAAATGTATTTAGCTGCATGCTTAACAAGTTACTCGCTGTTTAATACCATATGTTAATTACATATTTGATACTGTATTGTTACATATATCCATATATTAATGTATTTGTAATCTAATGGGCACCTCAGAGATCTTTTTTAAAATCACATCTTATTTGACAATGGAAAAAAAACCCCAGTCTTATAGCTAAATATTACATAATACAATACTTTTATTCCTTTACTTTACTTTTAAGCACTTTACATACATTCTGTCGAAGAAATGCTTCAAAATGTTAAAATATATCAAGTGTTTGAACTGGTCAATATTTTTCCTCATGTTCTTCTAAACATTCCCAATTACAATCAATATACATCATTTATAAAACATCAATCACATGATATCATTTTGTCCAATCAGCATCAGAAGCTGGATACACTTGATTCATTTTAGAGATAAAAGTATAATAAAGGCAGTTATACCATTATCTTGTCATTACTAGTACATGTAAAGCTCGACAAACACAGGAAAAACTTAATAAGCTTTCTGAATGGACCAAAATTACATCCTTATCACCTAATAAAAAGTAATATTTCTCAATCCAGCTTTGTTGTAAATAAAGTAATGAGACTTAATGACTTAAAACTAGCCCAAGATAATACTTTGTGTGATATAGACGTTTATTCCTAGTCGCCACCAGAAACCCACACTGGCGACTTGCTAAAAAAGAATGTTAATAATTTTATATTAATGCAAATAATAAACTGTTGAAAATAATCCATTCCCACAGAAACAACTGGTTCTTTAATGAATACATTGTAGGTTATTTTACCCAGGACCTCTGTTTATAACTGACTGTTAGCAATTTTAAAATAGTGAAGCTGGGCTTCAAACTCCTGATACCTGGACGATTTGTCAGACAGTGTAACCACCAACCATTGTACTTGCCCTGATAATACAATAAAATAGGTGCAGGGAACCAGTACTCTTTACTTAAGAAGACACAGTATTCTGATATAATGCATGTTGTTTTGGGG